AAGTTCGTAATGGATACTTCAGCCCATGCCAGAAAATTGTCTGTGCAGGTCCACGTTTTCGAATAGCCCCCATATAACGGTACCCCCCATATTCGGTATTTTAATGATTTTACTACATTATAAACAGATTTTTCTTCAAGTTTCACATTTAAATTATTGTAACAACTTATGACAAAATATGCCTAAGCAGGCCCACGTCGTCGTATAAGCACTCGGTATTCTTAAGATTTTGACAGAATTTTTAACGGATTTTATTTTTTGGAAATTGTCAAATTTGTACCAAATGGTGGAGGGTATTAAAAGTTCGGCCCGGCCGAACTTACAGCTTTTTTACTTGTTAGGAGTTATAATTATTCAAGATTTTGACCCTTTGGGGGAGTACTTGATGGAGTGTACCGATATTGCCCATTTTCACACCTGGCTGATGGAAATATTAGGATTTGCAAAGTTGGAGCAAAATCGGATCATTATTTCTCTATCTGTGCAGTAAAATATTTTTTTTTTCTTCAAAATTTCGACATTTTGTGGGAGAGGTACCAGAAGGCGTGGTGCCCATCTCCAAACTTTATCTAAGTTTGATAATAATAATATTCGATGTACAAACTTGACCAAATCGGATACTCCCTTTGAGAGTTATCATGCGCACCAGCCAGACAGACAGGCGGACGACTAGCGATGTCGTCTCCAAATATCCTGAAACGGATTTGGTCCAAAGAGATCTAGCGTCTAAAATCGTTATTTCGATGGGGTACGTTTTGGTTTATAAAGTATAGGATTAAAGTATTAAAATTATATATTATAATGTGTCTAGGATTATAAAAATACCGAATATCGGTGGGTGCCGATATATGGAAACAGTGGGCCAATGTTTTGACCCGCTTGTAGAACCCATTATAACCTACAATTGCCAAATTATACATAAATACATTAGAAAATGTGGCCAAAAATGTCGAAAATACCGAATATCCGAAGGTGGCCTTATATGTGAGCGCCATAGGAAAACGTGGACCTAGATTTCAATGTTCTGCCACCGGAGCTAGAGCTCATTACGAACTACAAATACCAATTGTTAGACAGCTCGGTGGAAAAATGTGGCTAAAACCCACAAAAGGTGGAGGGTATACAAATTGTTTAATTATTATGTTTCTTGTGGCATTAACCTGAGTGTGCAATAAATACATTTATAGCATGAGATTGACTATTGAGAACCCTAAATTAAGGCAATTCGTCAATTCCTTCAAAATATAAATTGGGAGATACCGTTATACGATTATATGGGAGTATACCAAATTATAAGCAAAATACTAAATGACAGACAATTCGGTTGGATATAGTGGCATAAATCTTAAAAATACCGAAAATCTTGAGGTACCGTTATATGGAGGCTATACCAATTCGTGGATCTTAATCGTACATCTTTCGGCTAGGAATGAACGGACCTACCGACAACCCGAATTGTCAGGTTTCGGCTAATTTGGTTGAAAATTTTGGCAGAAACCTTCAAAATACGGATAATCGGGAGGTACCAATACCAATCAAACTGCATAATATGGACTCTATAGTTATTTTAACAGATAGATAGATGGTCATCTCTTAATTGCCTTTTTTATTTTATTCTGATCAGGAACACACATACTTTTAGGGGTCTCCGACAAATATTTCGGGATATTGCGAACGTAGTGACAAATTTGATAATTTACGAGATCCCAAATAAATGACATCTAACCTTTACATTCATGCTTATTTCGTTGGCGAATGTAGCCAAACATCGGAGATTCAGGAAATCATATAGTAAAATCGAAATTTTTAAATATTGTTTTGTATACCCATTAATACTATATAGAGCAAATGCTACGAAGATAGTTATTGTGTTCACGTACATAATTGGAATCCCTGGCACATAGGAACTGTGCTAAGATGAAAACTCTCTGGAGGGTCATTAGAAGTTTTTACTAGGTCTCCTCTTTCCCTACCTTTCCAATGCTAGACTGAAAAAAGGTATGTCATTCTATATCTGGAACTTTCTTCTTCAAAGCGATGAAGGCAAGGATCGGTTTGGACAACTAGGAGGTTAGGAGAAGAGAAGGAGGAATCGAAATTAATTACGGAGCGCCTTGTGAATGAAAACTTCTTGAACGTATGTGTTAACAGGTTGAAAGGTAAAACATATGATATTTCAACCATTACCTTGGGTTTAATATTCAAATTTCTCAATATTTGTTTTATTTGTATTCAAAAATAATCAACTATATTCATTTAAATTTAATGTTAAAGTTTGAAATAAAAAAAAAAAAAACATTTTTCTCGTGCAAATTTGTTCTCCCCCTCCTTAAATACTCGTACATAGCATGCTTTGCTCATATTCATGTTTTGACGGTAAATTTTAAGAAAAGATGCCAGAATACACTCGGCTCTCACAATAAAGTTTCTTTCCAATGTGTCTGACACACACGCATTTGGTGGAATGTTTATTCCAGAAATGCCTTGAATGTATTCGTTTCACTTGAGCTGTAGAAGTGAATGCCAGAACATAAACCTCCACCCTAAGGTACTTGCTGACAAATGGTTTCAATTGAAAACTGTTTATCGTTTTTATTTAATTAGGTCATGGATATTTGCTGCCATGGAATTTTTCAAAAATAAAACAAACACATATTTTTGAAATAATTGTGAAAATTCCGTATTGACATATTCATTTAATTTGTTCGCACTTTAATTATGTCGCAATCATTTCATATTATTGTTACATTAATAATAGGTATTGTTTCAAAAATATTTATATATTTCGATAATTAATATTGGCATAAGAGTGTTTTTAATTATACTTGATTTGAATGTTTTACATGAAAATATATTAACACATAATTTGCAAAATACTTTTTCATTTCGGTCTGACGAAGTACAGCCTGTAAACTTAAGGAATGAAAACAAATATTAATTTTTTTGAATGCATACTAATATCTTTTGACAAAAAGTTTTAAGAAGTAAATTGACTTTTTATTATAATATTCAAATTATATGCCATTAATATTTTGACTTCTGTTATGATTATTCAAATGGTTAAACCCTTATGCAGTAGGTTCCGAAGGAATGGGCCAATATTGGCCTTTTCGTATCGGACTTAAATAAATATTATATAAATATTGCGACGTACTAGGTTTGGACTATATCGACTGCTTCCTTCACTTTACATGACATATAAGATAATTTTTAGAAAATGTTAACATACCATTCCACGCTTCATCTAATGCGTATTAAAATATTGGTATGGGCAAAATGACAAGAAAAACGAACATTTATTTTCAATTTATGGCAAATCATAAATTCCATATCAGGTTTCTGGCAAAGAGAGATATATTTAGATGCAGCAAGATGTAAAGAATCGCTGACTTTTCGCAAATTATTACAGATAAAATTATGGAAAATTGAGACCCTTTGTGAGTGAGGTATCAGAAAGGGCTCACAGATCAGATCCTGTCTTGATGGAAATATTGGGATGTATCAAGTCTTGAGTGGATGTCAATTTCGCTTTTTATGATATTCAAAATTGTGTGTCTTTGTGGAGGAGGTACCAGAAGGAGTGGACCGATACATCCCATCTTCACAACGGATCTTTTGTTAGTAGAAATAATAGGATGTATGAAATATAAAGAGAACCTGATGCTTATTTCGGATTTTAGAAACATTTTTATACCCTACAACACTTTGTGTTGGGGGTATTATAAGTTTGATTGGGCCAAAAATTATCTAACACCTCGAAATATTGGTTTCCCACATGGGAAAGTATATATGGATCTTCCTATCTCGCCGAGCTCAGTCGATCTAGCTATGTATGTCCGTCCGTCCATCTGTCCATGTTAATTTGTAATCACTCTACAGGTCGCAATTATGGCCCGATCTTCACGAAATTTAGAATGGAGGTGGGACTGGGGCCAGAATAGAACCCTATTTCTTTTGGAGATGATCGCATAATATTTAGGGGTTGAAATGGACCAAAAACTAAAAAAAAATTTGAATTTGCAGTAGCTCTACAGCTCGCAATTATAGACCAATCGACGCGGAATTTAGCATGGGGATAGAGATTAGGGCTGGGCAGAAACCTTCCAATTTTGATGTTCATCGGGTAATATTTAGTGGGTGAAATAGACCATAATATTTGTGTTAAATAAAAGGGCTAGGCCTATTGTTTTCAAAGATATCCGCAATATATTTTAGGGGTTGAAATGGACCAACAAATAAAAATGTTCCTGATTTTTCAGCCGTAAAAATGGTCACGAATAAATTAGAGTTTAGAACATCGGGTGGAAGGGGCCACTACTTTTTTGTGTAAAAAGATACCAACATTTCCATTCTACCGAAACGCTGAAAATAACTTACAGGCGAAATCCAAAATACACAAAAGGCGAACTTCTGGCTTTTTTATGCTGATTTCGTTGACGAATATAGCCAAATATCGTAAACAGGCAAATCATACAGATGAGTCTTAATTTGGAAATTAAGAGGGGCCTCTTGCTTTTGAAGATGATCGCAAAATATTCAGGGGTTAAAATGAACCAAAATCAGAAAAAATTTCCTGATCACACAATTGAAACCAATTGACACAGAAATGTGCATAAGAAGAGAGTTAAGGACTGGAAAGAATTCTAGCATTTTGGATTACCATTGGATTATATTTAGCTGTAAAATGGACCACAACAACTAACAGCATGACGGAGTGCTTAAATATTGGACAAATCTCCCTGGTCAGGTCAGTGCTCCGTAACATAATTTCAAAAGCGAAATATTCGAAAATCGATCTGGTTATAAGGGGCTTGTAACATATTGTAGTGTTGTAGGGTATCACATGGTCGGCCCCGCACGACTATAGCTTACTTACTTTGCTTACTTGTTGTTATTCAAAACGTTGACGCTTTGTGGGGGAGGTACCAGAAGTAATGGTCCGATCTCTACCGTTTTTTAAACAGATCCTGTGTTGATAGAAATATTTGGATGTGACATGGATGTGTAAATGGAATTGGGTGCTAATTTCGTGTTTAATGAGCTTAATGGATGTTCACAATTTTTACCCTTTGTGGGGGAGGCACTTGATGGAGTGGACCGATATTATCCATTTTTTGCACCTGACCTAGAACTGAAGCAAATATTATGATTTGCAAAGTTGGAGCAAAATCGGAGCATTATCGTTTCTCTTTCTGTGCAAAAAATATATTTTTTTAAATTTCGACATTTGTGGGGGAGGAACCAGAAGGCGTGGACCGATATATTTCATTTTAACACCAGACCTTGGGTTAATATAAATATTGGGATGTGTGAAATTTGGAGGCAATAGGACTCTTACATCACATTTTATGAGAGTTGTAATTATTTAAAATTTTGACCCTTTGTGGGGGAGGTACTGGATGGAGTGGACCGATGTTGTCCATTTTCGCACCAGACCTAGCACTGATGTAATTATTTGCAGATATAAATATTGGGATGTGTGAAATTTGGAGGCAATAGGACTCTTACATCACATTTTATGAGAGTTGTAATTATTTAAAATTTTGACCCTTTGTGGGGGAGGTACTGGATGGAGTGGACCGATATTGTCCATTTTCGCACCAGACCTAGCACTGATGTAATTATTAGGATTTGCAAAGATGGAGCAAAATCGGATTATCGTTTCTCTTTCTGTGCAAAAAATATATTTTTTGAAAATCTCGACCATTTGTGGGGGAGGTACCAGAAGGAGTGGACCGATATTGCTCATCTCCGAGCTCGATCTAAGTTTGACAAAAATATTACGATGTCCCAGGTTTGGACCAAATCGGATACTCCCTTCGAGAGTTATCGTGCGCACCAGCCAGCCAGAGAGGCAGACAGACGGACGGACGGACGGACGGACATAGCTAGATCGACTCTAAATGTTCTGAAACGGATTTGGTCCAAAGAGACCTAGGGTCTAAAACCGTTATTTCGACTAGGCACGTTTTGGCCGTATCAAATGAAATATACCCTCTGTAGCCATATGGCTGAGGGTATAAAAACTTCCGGAAACTACTACTTAAATGAAAACAGTTATATATAGATTATACGAAGGCGTGGACCTGCATACGAATTTTTTTGTCATAGGCTGTAGTACCAATTACCAATAAAAATACGAAATTTGAAATAATTTCGGCAAATACTGTCGCTAAAATCATGAAAATACCGAATATCTGGAGGTACCGTTATATGGGGGCTATACGAAAATGTGGACCGACATGGCCCATTTACGAACTTAACCTGCCTACCGGTAAACTATGCAGGTATTTTAGCCTTCAATCCCAATTCGTTCGAAGGACAGCGTGAATATAGACAGACAGACATACATCGCTAGGTCGTCTTAGAATTTTACGCTGATCGAGAATATATATATATATATATATATATATATATATATATATATATATATATATATATATATATACTTTGTAGGGTATATTATAAATATTTCGAGGTTATTGGGTGAAGGACTATGAGATATGGAGATTATTTTAAAAGACGTACTTTGACTGTTCTAAACGAACTGAAAGCTACTAAATTTGGTATTGGATATTGGGATAAAACTGGAATTCTGAAATTTGGGTTCCATATCAAATTTTGAGAAGAAAGAGAGATAGACCCATAGTTACTTTTGAGGGTCTTCAAGAATCACTTTCTGAGTCGATGTATGCATATCAGTCCGTCTATCCATGTGTTTTTAAGAACAAAGTGCATGTCACATTTTATTAGCCGATTGAGATGAATTTTCCAAACAATATTTGTTTGGCCCAAGGACGAACTTTATTGAAATTGCTGAAAATCGGTACAAATTTAGATATTGCTCCTTTATTTATATATTTATCCAATTTTGAGTTAATTTAACCGATTTCGAGTTAATTGTGCACCAAATGGCCAACATAAGTCCAAATGACCTGAATTTTGCCACATCCGACCGAATTCAGTCTAGAAGGAAGTACATTCAGTTTGATGAAAATCGGTTTCAGGACATTTGGAGTCGATCTAGCGATGTCTGTCCGTCCGTCTGTATGTCTGCCTGGCTGGTGTGCACGGTAACTCTCGAAGGGAGTATCCGATTTGATCCAAAGTTGGTACATCGTAATATTATGGTCAAATAGATCGAGTTCGGAGATGGTCCATTCCTTTCAAAGAAAATTATTTATTGCACAGAAAGAGAAACGATAATCCGATTTTGCCACAACTTTGCAAATCCTAATATTTGCATCAGTGCTAGGTCAGGTGCGAATATTGGCAATATCGGTCTACTGCATCAAAATCTCCCCCACAAAGGGTCAAAATTTTGAATAATTACAACTCTTAAAAATGTTATGTAAGAGTCAGATTGTCTCAAAATTCGAATATCCCAATAATTTTATTAACCCAAGATCTGGTTTAAAAATGGAATGTATCGGTCCACTCCTTCTGGTACCTTCTCCACAAAAGGACGAAATTTTCAAAAAAATATTTTTTTGCAGAGAAAGAGGAAATCCGATTTTGCTCCAACTTTGTCAATCCTAATATTTGCGTCAGTGCTAGGTCAGGTGCGAAAATGGACAATATCAGTCCACTCCATCAATTACCTCCCCCACAAAAGGTCGAAATTGTGAATCTCCATTGAGCTCATAAAACGCGAAATTAATTATCGATTCCATTTAGACTTGGCACATCTGAATATTTCTATCAACACTGAATCTGTTATAAAAACGGTAGAGATCAAACCATTTCCTCTGGTATCTTCCCCACAAAGGGTCAAAGTTTTGAATAACCCAAACGTTTATAAAATCCGAAATTATCATCAGATTCTCTTTATATTTCACACATGCTATTATTTCCACTAACAAAAGATCTGTTGTGTGGATGGGATATATCGGTCCACTCCTTCTGGTATCTCCCCCACAAAGGCTGAAAATTTGAAATATCCATGAAGCTCATAAAAAGCAAAACTGACATCCGATTCCATTCAAGACTTGGTATATCTAAATATTTCCATCAACACAAGATATGTTATAAAGATGGTTGAGATCGGGCCATTTCTTTTGCTACCTGCCTATAGGGTTCAAGATTATGAAAAACAAAACGATCAAATAAAGCGAAATAAGCATTCAACACTCTTCAAATTTCACACATACAAACATTTTTGCTAATGCACAACAGATATGTGCAGATGATATATATCTGTGAACCCCTTCTGGTACCTCTGTGAACCCCTTTTGGTACTTTTCGTACGCTTATAGTGCGAATATCCTTTGGTGCATTCATCATACACTCATTTCAAATTTAAGAGTTCTTACCTTTAGTACCTTTTAGCACTTCTCGTATCGTTCTAGTCTGAATTTCCATTACTTTACCCTTTTAAAAATATAGATTTACCCTAAAACACCCGTTTTAGTAATTTCTTAAAATTTTTAGTTCGGCAAAAATCTAAATTGCAGATTTCTATAGTAACCCGTTAGCTATACCTATTTTTTGAGAAAATATATATTTACAGCTGATTTGGTTGGTAATTGGACTAAAACCTTTAAAATATCGAAAACCAGGAGGTGACTGATTTCATACATCCGTCTGATTTGGTTGACAATTTAGATCGTTATAGAGCGCTATAGCTAATTGCGGACCCATATAGATCATCAACCCAATCATCTTTTTTACCAGACCTAATTTATTTATCCAATTGAAGGCGTAGGTTCAACATTCCGTGACTCTGAAATTTACAGCAAAAACAACAACAACAACATTTCTCCGACAAAACCTTGAAAAAATAAAATTCTCTTTGCGTTGGTAATTTTTTCATGATCATCACAGAATAAGCCGGTAATTGAATTTGGAGCATGAGACACGTTTTTAAAACAATTTACAGAAAATGTTGCATCTGAGATTACTAGTTCCGCATTAAAAGTATATAATCATGTGTGAGTCTGTAATTGAAAATTAGTTTGGAAATTTAGCTGACAAAGCCAGCATTAATTTCATAGTTTTTTTTTTGTTGTGTCGAGAGTGCAAAAAGTCCAAAAGTGTTGTGACAAACAAAATGAAAACCAACAACCGATCTTTGATCGGCATACAGTTGTTTGTGACAACTTTATGGGCGTTATCAAATTACACTTGGGAGATTTCTGCACAGGGCACCAAATATGGCTTGTGGACGCCGGACAAGGCCTGCGAAGACTCATCAAGTGTGGTGCAATGGACCGGTGGTCAATTTGAGTTTCCATGTGCCTCAACAAAATCCCTGTTCAAAAGTTCCGGAAAGTATATTTCGAAAAATGTCATTGCCACGCGGGCACAAATAATACGTGACACGATCTACTTGGCTTTGCCACGTTATCGCAAGGGGGTACCATCTACCTTGGTCAAGACTAATATCCAACCTGGCACATGTTCGGCCACATTCACGCCATTCCCCTGCTGGGATATGCAGGAAGAGGGGAACTGCAAAGCTTTACAGTCAGTTGTGGATTTGGTTGTGGATCAAAATGAAGTTATTTGGGTGTTGGATACGGGTATTGTGAATACTTTGGAGGTACCGGTACGCAAATGCCCACCCAAGGTATTGGCCTTATCGGCCAAATCGGGAAAAGTGTTAAAAACTATTGATTTGGATGGTCTGACCTCGCCTAATTCCCGTCTCCAGTACCTGGCCGTTGATTACGCTCCGGATGGTGGATGTTTTGTTTATGTCAGCGATGCAGCCAATCGTGCCATTATTGTCTTCAACATTCAGGCAGATCGTGGTTTCCGCATTGTTTTGCCCAAAGCTGTAACTGCCGGCTGCAGATCACGCGATGTTTTGTACATAGCGCTGATACGTCAAGATTGTGGCACAACAGAATTGTATTTCACGTATTTGAGTACGAATCGTTTGTTTTCGTTGAAATCGGAATATTTGAGAAGCGGTGTGGCAGATGGGCGTATTATAGGTAAGTTCTGATAATTACGTTCACAATCGATCAAGATTTATACCATATAACTCAACTTCTAAATTTGGTTAGAATGGAGTTTTTTTAAATCAGTTCTATATATAAAAAAAAGTATTTAAAATTTCAAAATTTCAAAAATTTACTCTTATACAGGGTGAGATAAAAAACTGCAACAAAGTCAAAATACATCATTTTTACTTTTTATACGATACACCACAAGGTGGTCGGGTATTACGTCTTTGTGCATTTGTTTGTAACAGGCAAAAGGAAACCAAATAGACCCATACTTTATTTTAATGATCTGCATTGAATCACATTCTGGGTCGATTTATGCATGTCCGTCCGTCTGTCCGTCCATCTGTCTGTCTGTACGTCTGGCTATGTAAATTTGTAAACAAAGTACAGTTCACATTTATTGTCCTATCCAGATGAAATGTTGCACAAATCATTTGTTTGGCCCAAGGACGAACCCTATTGAAATTGGGGATAAACGGTAAAAAATTAGATATAGCTCCCATATATATTGTTCATACGATTTGCCTTTTATTGTGCACCAATCGTGTAATATCAGCCCGAATGGTATGGAATTTTCCACACTGAAACAAAAATAAAAAATAAGTGTGCCAAATTTGATCGAAATCGGTTCAGATATAGCTATAGCTCCCATATATATTGTTATTTTTGTCCTCCGCAGCCGTAATATGCACTCTGTAACAACAATATTTGGGGAAATATATCAAATGCAGCTCAGAAATACATTTGCTAAATTTTATCGAGATCGGTTCAGATTTGGATATAGCTCCCATATATAACTTCGTCCGATTTACTTTTATTGTGCACCAAACGTCTAATATTTGCCCAAATGGAATGGAATTTGGCACTTACGACCGAATTGAGTCTAGAAGCTAGTATGTTAAATTTGGTGAAGATATGTTCAGATATAGCTATAGCTCCCATTCATCCGATTTGTTATATTTGTTACCCACAGCCGTAATATGTGCTCTCCGTAACAATGATATTCAGGAAAAGATATCAAATACAGCTCAGAAATATCTTTGCCACATTTTTTCGAGATCGGCTCAGATTTGAATATAGCTCCCATATAAATTTTTATCCGATTTCAAATTAATTGTGCACCAAATGGGCAATACAAGTCCGTGTATTATAATCATAGCGTGTATGATTTAATTAAACTTTTAATTGTTATGTGGAGCTCTACTAAATTAGCAAAATGGTGTAGGGTATCATAAAGTCGGCCCCGCCCGACTTTAAGATTTTCATTATTGTTTTTTTTAAATTTCATTGAATGAAAGCAAAAAATGTCGGAAATAGCATCAAATTTTAGAATAAGTTTAGATTTGTTCGAAATGGTCACCTTTGGTACGAATTAATTCAAACGGCCATTGCAACCGTCACACGCTGCCCGAATGTTGCTCTGCGGTAGTTTGGCCCATTCCCGGAAGCGAAGCGCTTGCTTGAGGTGATCGACACTTTGGTATTTTTTAGTGCCAACCTTGGCTTCCAAAATACTCCAGACACAATAGTCCAACGGATTGGTATCCGGAGATTTTGGTGGCCATTGTGCGCTGGAAATGAAGCGAGGAACCTCATTTTGTAATAATTCTTGGGTGGCGCGTGCTGAGTGCAATGGTGCTGAGTCCTGTTGGAATGTCCAAGGTCTGCGGCCAAAATGTTTGCGTGCCCAAGGCTTTAATACACCCTCCAGAATATTTTTGCGATAATATTCGGCATTTATTCTGACGCCACGGTCGATTAATATGAACGGGGAGCGACCATCGGCTGTTATGGCTGCCCACACCATCACCACGGCAGGCGCTCAAGTTCAGGTGGCCAACCGAAGGTGCACATTTTCAGCTGACCTCTTTGGCAAGTACACACAATCATTTTGTCTGTTACAAACTGCAGGACAACGAATGTTTTCTCATCGGAGAAAACCAAATTTGGTAGTTCACCACTTTCGGCCAAGCGAAGCTCTTTTGTGTCTGTTTTCTTTCTGTTGCGGTGTAAGTTCTTGAACTTTGTGGAATTTCAATGGCTTTACCCCGAGCTCATTTTTCAATATTTGCCGAATGAAATATTGCGATAGGTTTAGCTCACGAGCCATTTTACGGCCACTGCGATTAGAGTTTCGATCAAGTAGCTTCTTTACTTTTCGAACCATTTCTGCTGATGTTGCTGTTTTGTTCCATTCACTTCCTTGACGTCGGGCTACGAGAGATGGTACGAGACAAGAGATGGCTCTAACGATAGCCACTTGTAGTTTTCCAGCCAAATATAAAGAAATCACCCTATCACGCTTGAATTCCATGACGAATAACTTTTTTTCTAGAAAACTCTCACCAAAATGCTTTTGTACGCTTGTAAACAATATAATGAGCTGTCACTGGAATAATTTTAACAGCTGTCGGACGAGTGGCAAATGACAGCAGTCTGAAGTTGTTTGCAGTTTTTTCATCCCACCCGGTATACGTAAACGTTTAGGTATAGCCACCATATAACTTTGCCTCCCTAAATTCAATATTTTGATGATTTTAGCGACATTGTTCATCGGAATTGTTTCAAATTTCGTCGAAAGTCTACTACAAACTGTGACATCAAATTGTCTGTGCAGGTCCAGGTTTTCATATAGACCCCATACAAGACTATCTCCCTATATTTGGTATTTTGCTTATTTCAGTGACATAATTCACCGGAATCGTTGCCAATTTCGTATTTGAAATTCCTAATGGGTATTACAATCTAAAACGGATAATTCTCTATGCAGGTCTAGGTCTTCGTATATCCCCTGAATATCGTTATCTCCCTATATTCGGTAAATTGATGATTTTAGCTACTTTATTCACCGGAATTGTTTCAAAGTTCGTATTTGAATATTGTAATGGCCTATGACAAAAATTGTCTATGCTGGTCCACGTCTTCGTATAGAATCCGATACAATGGTAACTTCCTATATTCGGTATTTTTGAGATTTTAATAATTTTTTTTATTCCCAAATGCGTTCCAAATTGTGGAGGGAATTAAAAGTCCTGCCCGGCCAAACTTACTGCTTTTTTACTAGTATAGTATAAAAACTTCAATTTGGAGATTTGGTGCATGTATTACATTTATTAAAAGGTTTTGGATCATTGTCATGCCATGGTAACTTCAAATGTGAGGCATTTCAAAGACGACCAATTTGGAAAAGTTTAAGTTTTTACATAGATGTGGGTATAAAACGTTTTACATAAAACAAGTAAAATCGGCGTGCTGAAACTTAATTGATGTCATAAGCTTAATATTTCCCCGTGATATATTTTTGCAAGATAATTTTCTAGCCATTATAAACCCAAAATATAAGGATGTTCAAAATACTAATAACAGCTTAATTCAATTAAACAAACATTTACATTTTTTATTATATATGGACATACAATAGTTGCATATCTTTTCTTTTGTCGTACATAAGTAGGCTCTATGGGATAATTACTAAAATGACTTAACTTTGCAAAAACAATTTACTTTTTTTAAATTCTTTTTATGTTTGAAAAATTTAATTTTCCATATCTATTGATGAAAGGAAACTTAAATTGTTTTCTGAATTGCCAAGTAATACGCAAGGTATTATTCATGTGAACATGTTGTTTATACATACACGTGAACATATGTAACTGGGCTAGTATGACCGCTCAACTTCCATACAACTTCCAACAGACGGCGGGCGGACTCAACATTCGCTACAAATTGATGAACTTTTCATAACAACAATTTACGAAATAATTGAAAAATTTACCGCTGAAGTAGGTCAACATATTGATGGTTCTTTGAATGAATGAATGTGGCCATGTCTCTGTGTGGCCATGTCTGTGTGTGAGTGTTTGTTCTTATTCTTGTAAAGTTGTTGAAGCTATCAAAATTGGTCATCACAACACACTGAATTATAGTTGCACTTGTTGTGTTATTGCGTTCCATATTCATTTTTATACCCTCCACCATAGTATGGAGGGTATATTAAGTTTGTCATTCCGCTTGTAACACCTCGAAATATAGATTTTAGACCCCACAAAGTATATATATTTTTGATCGGTATAAAATTCTGTGTCAATTTAACATTGTCCGTCCGCCTGTCCTGTAGTAGATTGATAAAAAATGTACTCAAAAGTGTATTATCTATGCAGGACTTTTGGTATTGAAAATGGGCCATATAGGTCCACGTCTTCGTATAGCCTCCATATAACGGTACCCCCGATATACGGTATTTGGATGATTTTAGCGACATTATTTACCGGAATTGTTTCAAATTTGGTATTCGAAGTTCGTAATGGATACTACAGCCTGTGACAGAGAATTGTCCGTGCAGGCCCACTTCTTCGTATAGCCCCCATATAACGGTACCCCCGATATACGGTATTTGGATGATTTTAGCGACATTATTTACCGGAATTGTTTCAAATTTGGCATTTGAAGTTAAAAATGGATACTACATCCTGTGACAGAAAACTGTTCGTGCAGGTCCATGTCTTCATATAGCCCTCATATAACGGTACCTCCCGATATTCGGTATTTTGATGATTTTAGCGACATTATTTACCGGAATTGTTTCAAATTTGGTATTCGAAGTTCGTAATGGATACTACAGCCTGTGACAGAAAATTGTCCGTGCATGTCCACGTCTTCGTATAGCCCGCATATAACGGTACCCCCGATATACGGTATTTGGATGATTTTAGCGACATTATTTACCGGAATTGTTTCAAATTTGGCATTTGAAGTTCAAAATGGATACTACAGCCTGTGACAGAAAATTGTCCGTGCAGGTCCATGTCTTCATATAGCCCTTATATAACGGTACCAGAAAATTTTCTGTGCTGGCTTATGACAAAAGTTGCGTATGCAAGTCCACGTCGTCGTATAGACCCTAATATATGGCTACATTCTTTTTTTTTAAAGATTTTAAAAGGAATTTTAATAGATTTTAATTTTTTGAAAATTGCCAAATTTTTACCAAATGGTGGAGGGTATTCAAAGTTCGGCCCGGCCGAACTTACTGCTTTTTTACTTGTTTTCTTTGTTCAGTCACATTGCAACTATCTTATGTATGCGGCTGGTTTATTTACCTTATGAACCCTATTTTAGCCACCCACTAACACACTCTCTCTCTCTCTCTTTGTGCGTTTCTTTTCATTTACAGACTTGGGTAAGAAACCATCGCGTATGGTTATAATTGGCACCGATAATGGCTCGGCCATATTTTTCCGCAACGAGGGCGACTCCGAAGTTTTCCGCTGGGATACAAACTCAACATTCACGGAAGCCAACTTCAAACCTGTCTATCGTAGTCCCACCTGTCAGTTGGCCACACATGCGGTGCCTGACTACAAACGCAACACAATGCGTGTTCTGCAAAGTAATTTTCCAGATTTTATGCAAAATCGTGTGGGCTGTGGGGCCATCCAACAGTTGTCGATGATGCAAGGGTGTTGGTAGTTGGAATGAAAAGAAGGACACAAAAAAAACAACAACAAAGAGTGCCAAAGACATTGTGCAACGAATATATGTATTTTTGATATGTTTCAGGGCGGAGAATGGGAAAGTCGGAGTAAATATTCTTTAGTGGGTGGGAGAAGTAAATTTAATTTTCAACCAAGAAATTCTTATTAAAAATTTAAGTAAATTATTTAATTTTAAAATATTTAAAACTATTAACACTACAACATCACAAATTTACACTAACAATGGAACACAAGACAGTATATAATACAATTGTATCCTTTACATGAGACACAACATGCCACAATGACACTAAATGCATTGCAACACACATACTCACATACGTAAATACTCATAACCCAGCTAAATTTTTTTCCGAATTTGGAAAATAACTCTGCACAAGTTTCCGATTCTGATGTCGAATTCGCAACGAACTCGGAACAAAATTGTGTGAGATTGCCTAAGATTCTGAAGGTCTTTTCGGAAAAATATATAGAATTTTGTGACAAATTCGATTAGAACTCGCAATAGAAAATAAGGAAATTCCGTTACGTTTTTGTACGTTTAATATGAAATTGGTAAAATGTTCGGGTGTTTGATCTGAAATTCGGAAAAAAACCGGAATTTGTTCTATAGTTTTCTCCGAAAATCGGAGAAATATAGGATGTTTAATACGAAATTCGGAAAACTTTTAAATGTTTGATAACCGAATATTTTAGAAAGTTTTATCCAAAAATCGGGAAAATTTGTCTAATTTTTTCAAAATTCGGACTGAAGTTATTGAAAAAATTAATTATTGATGTTCGTTGCTATGGTACCTCTCATAGTTCCAAATACCGCATCTAAATAATAAAAATAATTTATGCGATCAAATAGTTTTAAACATAAGCACATACACTTTTAAGGAGCCTAATTTACAGTACACGTGTTCCGTTGAAACTGAAACTGATCATAAAAAAAAAATTAAACAAAACAAAAGAAACGAGTATGTGCAGATTATTCGGAAACTTTTCATGAAAAACGGTGGAAAACCTCTACAAAAAATTGGATATCTGAGTCCTCGGAAAGATATGTTAGCTGGGAACACTTACACCACACATCCATGTATACACGCATACACACCAACATTCATACAAACATACTTACACACTTCTATATCCTGTATAAGGTAGAGTCAATTATTTCCCACAAATGGTGTTATAAGTAATGGAAAATTTCATAATTATGTCTATTTTTAATATAGTTATCGTTTATTAGATGGGGTCGATGGGTTTAAGGTATTTATTTTATAATTATTTTTTTTTTTATTTTGTTTTATATTTAAGTTGAAACGAGTTTTAATAAAATGTCGTTAGTAAAAAAAATCAAAATTGTTGTTCCTTTGCATTTTGGGAGGGCGAAGACTTTATGCAATCGATTTTCCACAATATAAGGAAATAAAAGAATTGCTTACAGACGAATTGATTGGATAATTTAGGTAATGAGGAACTTTTATATGAGGGCTACATCAAGAAGTGATCCTATATATACTGACAATTTTTTGAAGTGGTTTTTAATACAAACTCAAAATTCTTCGAAATCAATTGGATATTAAGGTAAAAATTTTAAAGTAATTATCATTGATATTTTCTCTTTTAAAGGATCTATAAGGATACGTGAATTCGTCCAATTTTAATACCAACAAGTAAACCAGTAAGAGAAATACAAAAGCTACGGATATAGCTTCCGTAACAAAAGAATTTATTTTAAGTAGATCATACCACCTATCAACATTTGGCTTCAGAGCATTTATAGTTTGGTTTCAGAGGGAACTAATATGTGGGAGGCATATCCTGAAATATCAAATTCTTCAAAAAATAAAATTCTTAAAAAATTCTGTTAAAATTTTTAAAATACCAAATATAGCCGTTATATTGGGGTTTATACGACGTGCACCTATATAGGCATTGTTTGTCATAAGCCATTACCATATTCAAATTTGAAACATGAAATAAACGGCGAATAATGTAGCTAAAATCATAAAAATATCGTATATAGGGAGGAATCGTTATATCGGAGCTGTGCGAAGACCTGCACTTGCATAGACAATTTTCTGTCACAGGCTGTAGCATCCATTACGAACTTCAAATACCACATCTCAAATAATTTCGTTGGGTATTGTACCTAAAATCGTCAAAATACCGAATATAGGGAGGTACTGATATATGGGGGCTATAAAAAGACGTGGACCTGCACAAACAATTTTCTGTCACAGACTGTAGTTCCCATTACGAACTCTAAATACGTAATTTGAAACAATTCCGGTGAATAATGACACTAAAATCATCAACATACCAAATTTTGGGAGGTACTGTTATATGGGGCCTATACGAAGACCTGGACCAGCATAGACAATTTTCTGTCATAGACTGTAGTTCCCATAACGAACTCCAAATACGTAATTTGAAACAATTCTGGTCAAGAATGACGCTAAAATCATCAAAATACCGAATGTTGGGAGGTACCCTTATATGGGGGGCTATAAGAAGACGTGGACCTGCACAAACAATTTTCTGTCTAAGGGTGTAGTATCCATTTCAAACTTCAAATACCAAATATGAAACAATTCCGCAGAATAATGCCGCTAAAATCAAAATCAAAATACCGAATATCGGGAGGTACTGTTATATGGGGGCTATATGAAAACGTGGACCTACATGGCCCATTTACGAACTTAACCTGCCTACTGGAAAAATAAACATGAGTGCTAAATTTAAGCCATCTATCTCAATTCATTCGAAAGATAGTGTGATTACAACAGACAGACAGACGGACAGACAGAAAGACGGACATCGCTAAATCGACTTAGAATTTTACGCTGATCAAGAATATATATAATTTGTTGGGTCTGTCATGAGTATTTCGAGGAGTTACAAACGGAATGACAAAGTTAATATACCCTCCATAGTATGGTGGAGGGTATAATGTATACTGGTGCCGAGTTCCACAAAATAGAAACGTACGTCCCGAAATTCACTCCATTTGGGCTAATATTAGTCATTATTTGCACAATAAACCGGAAATCGGATTAAGGATATTTTTGAGCTATATCCAAATCTTAGCCGATCTCGATCAAATTTGGCAAAGGTTTTTCCCAGCTCTGATCTGGTCCAAATATCATTGTTGTCGATTGGATATTACGAATTTGAGGGGCTTAAATACCAAATCGGATGAAACATATATATGGGAGCTATGGGTATATCTGAACCGATTTTCTTGAAATTTGATGTTCCTGCTCTAGACTAAATTCGGTCTTTCTCTCCTCTCTCTCTCTCTCTCTACATATTTCCCCAGGTGACACCAGGTCAAGAGGTCATTGAGGCCATGCCGTGGGGTCATTGACCTTTTCTCTCTCTCTCTCTCTCTCTCTTTCACTGTCCCTCCTTCTTTGTGTCCCTCTTTCTCTCTCTACATCTTTCCCCAGGTGAACTCAGGTCAAGAGGTCATTGACCCCATGTTAAGGGTCATTGACCGTTTCTCTCTCTCCCCCTCTTCCCATGGGATACTCTTTCCCTAGCCCTGCAATAGAGGTAGACTCATTTGCTAAATCGAATATAGCAACCATTTTCCAACGAACTCAACCTTGTCAGTTTTCAAATAAAAATTCCTTTCTTGTCTAAAATATTTACGTATGACTAGTGGTATACTTTGCAAAAATAATAAATTATATACTATTTTCGACGCTATATAATATTTCATGAAGGCGAATTTTATTTATTTTTTTTGGGCTCAAACCTACAAATATTAAGATTTTATGCCCTTCAACTAAAGGAAACTTAACTCAATCTTTATACTTGCAGCAAAGTAATACTTTGAGGTAAAATTTAACCATTCCTTACGTTACTTATGAGGCAAATATTTTAGTTTCTTTGCAGCGCAATCTGCGCTACCCCCATTGAAATTGGACAAACATAGCTGTATGGTGTATCAAGTACATCAAATCGTCGGAAAATATATGTGGGAGCTATATCAAAGTCTGAACTGATTTCAATATAATTTGGCAATTCTAATGCTATATCAGGAGTTCCAAGTGGAATTAAAAAAATGTATATAACCTATGTTACTTTCAGGCTATGCTTTGGTATATTTAAAAAATTTCTGGAAAATCTGTTTAGCGGTTTTTGAGTCCATAAATTACAAACAAGCAGACATACAAACATTTTCTTCTCTTATAGATAAAAAAGAAGAAGATTCTTCCTTGATTGAGTGTATAAAAAGTAAGAAAAAAATAGTTAAGTTCGACCGGGCCGAACTTTTTGTACACTCCACCGTTTGAAAGGAACTTGAAAAGTTAAAAAAAAACAGTAAGGAAAGCTCAAAGGTCTGGCGGGGCCGACTATATGATACCCTACACCACTATGCATATATAGTAGAGCTCTCGCAAAAGAAATGTTTATATTGGGCTTTTCTGAGCTCTATGAGATATCTAGTACAAAATATGATTATGGTAGAGTGCATATTCCGAAAGTTAGAGATTTAAACACCAAATCGGATGAAACATATATATGGAGCTAGAGCTATATCTGAACCGATTTTCACAAAGTTTTAAATATTAACTTCTAGAATGAATTCGCTCGGAAGTTCAACTTTTCACTCACTTTGCGCTGAAATTAGCTATTCTGTGCTAACAAGAAACCTAAAATCGGATGAAGATACATATGGTAGCTATATCTAAATTTGGACCGATTTTCATCCATTTCAATAGAGTTCGTCCTTGAGCTAAACAATGTTATTTAGAAATGTTATTTAGAAAATTTCATCTCAATCGAATAATAAATGCGACCTGCATTTTGTTTACAAAAATACATGGCGGACGGACAAGCATAAATCGACTCAAAATGCGATTCTATGCTGATCACCAAAAGGAACTATGGGTCTACCTCATTTCCTTCTCCATGTTACAAACAAATGCACAAAGACATAATACCCTTGCCACTATGTGGCGTGGAGTATAAAAATCCGTTGAAAAATACAGCTAAAATGAAATATATGTTGGCTATACGAAGACGTGGTCCTGCCTAAG